AGAGAGAGAGAGAGAGAGAGNGAGAGAGGAGGAGGAGGAGAAGAAACATCAGAAAAAGCAATATGGGTTCACCACCACTTCGTGGTGTGGTGAACCCATAATGATATTGTTTTCTGTCATATCATTTGGGGAAATCGATTCAACCAGTTTCCAACCAAATGGCTTGGGTATGGAGTCGCGTAGCGTAACAACAGAGTGCTCGAGGTCTCGGGTTCGAGTCCTAACATGCCACCGATCTTGAGGCCACTTTACACGACTTTCCTCACTTCGCTCAGGTGAAAATTAGTGTTGTATTGTCCCCTGCACTTTTATAAGTTGAAAAAAACTTGAGTGTGTCCCCACCACGTCTTGTGATTACATGTTGGAATATTAAAAAAAATGACTTGGTAGGGTGGGCAAATATCCACAGACTTTTTTCAACTTTTTTATGCAGGCCTTTAAAATTGTTTTATTGCAATCCCGCTACAGCAATGGACATCATAACACCAGCAGAAGTCTTTTAGCCGTGTACCAAATGCGGTACAAAACTGTCTTGGAGTGTTGCGAAGGATGGATCCTCGTGGGTGATACTTGCACAGGTGAATATTGCCATAAGTTTATGTTGTTTTTGTTTTGTTTGTTTGTTGTTTCCTACGGCTACTACCATAATGATTGTTTTCCGTCTCATTTTGATAATCACTTACACAAATGATGTCCATTTTATCACACAGACCAGACAACTTGCGGTTTTGTACGCTGCCCAAGCACACCGATCCATCTTTCCTTACCCGAAGATCGAAATTACATCCTAGTTGACTTTAGAGACTACATCACAGCCGCTGATGCTGACTTAAACCGACTGCCGCCGATGATTGACAGTGTGACATCTACCAACGCTGCGTACCCGATTACTAAGTACGAAGTCAGTTCCAACACCGAGGCCAGGGGAGGGCGATATCTGTTTCCTTCTGTCAGATTTAGGGCTTGTCACGATGTCTGTGACGTCAGTGTGGTCATCAAAGGTACGTATCACATCAAATCAAATCAAATCAAACTTTATTCATCAACTTGGCAGTCCTTAGACTGAATTGCGTTGATTGTACAATTTTGCCAATGATAAAAAAACAAAATACTGATAAAAATTTCATCAGTTAAAAAGATATTTGAAGAATATTGCCTTTTTCTTCGTCACTAGAACATTGTTATATTTTTATTTTAATCTTATATTTATCAAATTTGTCTTATTAATATATGATAAGTTAATTGGAGGAGGGCACAGTAAAAGCCTGTTGGCTTCTTCTCTCTTCCTGCACCTTTTGAAAATACTTTATTTCACTGTTATTAATTGTTTCATATGTGCAAATAAATAAAGCAGACAATTGTAAATGACCATTAATCTAAATGAATGATAAAATAAATGATGATTAACATCATTGCATAAGCTTCAGCTTTCATATAAAACGGTCTCCTGTGTACAAAATATTAAGAACACATTTTATCTCTTTCCGAACGATTCTGATTCAGACGAGACAGCACCACGGGCAATGAGCTGCCCAGGAGTCAGCCACGTTCTCCAAGGAAAAAGCTGTCGTAACGTTCACCTCTATGACTACTTCAACAGCAGCACGATAGCATCGTGGTTTCGGGACAACGTTGAGGTCACCGATGTCATGTGCAGACAGTCTACAATACAGGACATTGTGACGGGCGAAACAACGGCTGTCGCTTGTCAGGCAAAGGACAGGGCCGGGAACCCGTCTGCCGCCTGTCACATCACCTTCCTCTGCATGGATAACGGTACCACATCCTTAAATTTTCCGGAACGGCATCACAATTTTCTGTTGTCAAAAAATATACTAAGTTAATCAATTGTATCGGCGTCATCATTTTTTTTGTTGTACTTTTCCATCGAGACAAAACACAATGGAGGGGGAGACAAAACAGGCGATTGCTCACCTCTACTCGTTGTCTCCCACGGAACATATAAGATACATAAATAAATATTAACAGAAAAACATTGTACAATTTAGCAATTCCAGAAATACAAAAAAATATAAAAATAATAAATTTAGAAGTCATATGCGCGTTTATGTTACCAGGAATTTTCATAACTTACTTGATTGAAGACACATGATACTTACCCCCAGCAATAAACTCTCACTTTGTGGGGTCGTGTGGCGTAGCGGCAGAGTGCTCGACTCAGAACCAAGAGGTCCCAGGTTCGAGTCCTGACATGCCACCGATCTTGTGCCCTTGGGAAAGGCACTTGATACGACTTTCCTCACTTCGCTCAGATGAAAATGAGTATTGTATTGTCCCCTGTACATATGTTGGTGACGGCATTAATATAAGTTGAAAAAACTTGAGTGTGCCGTCACCACGTCTTGTGATTATATGTCGGAATATAATTTCAAAAAACCCTCTCAAATGATGACTGACATGATGAATTTTTAGATTACATGAAAATTTGAGTGAGACAAGAAATGTTTTTATCACCATACAGCCTGCCCCCAGCTGACGCCACCAGAGTCGGGAGCATTTGTCTGCCACGAGGACCATCAAGAACAGAGATGTGCTCTCTTCTGTGAGGAGGGAAAACGTCCTGCGAGACAGAACATCATCACATGTGACAAGAACAGCCCTTCACCGACCTGGAGAAGTGCAAAAAGCAGACATGTGGGTCACCTCAGCTGTGAAAGTGAGTTCTGTCAAATCTAAAACGAGTTGTGCAGGTTTTGAGGTTATCTCATTTCATACATATTATTTCTATTATTTGACCTCTGATCTCCAATTCACTTTTATTTCTACATGCTGATTTTGTTTCAAGTTTGTCATAATTTCAGCATAATTTGTATGTTTTATTTATTATGATTATTTCTAAATGTAATTATTATTATTGTTATTCTATTTTATGTTGTTGGACTCCAGAAAGAATAGTATGGAGTTTACCATACTAATGGAGATCTCAATAAACAAACAAACAAACAAACAAACAAATCTCAGGATCGGTTTGTCGCTTTCTTATTTTATTTAGGCAGTAGTAGTTAAGAATGACACAATAGACAATCGTATCATGCATATGGTTATCATAACCATAATGATTATTAACCTGTGAAGATTATTAAGATGTTAAAGTGGCTCCCCTCAATTTAGATTTACATCAATTGATACACATAAATGGATAAAGTGAGGGTGGACTCGAGTTTTGCGCAAAAAGAATACTTGAAAAACTAAAGGCACTGAAACTTGTGAATAGTACATGAATAAATAACTTGTGTCTAACATGATCGCTGTTTCATAGAAATCTTCAAGTTGTCACTTCGGTGCCAAAATATGTACATGTCAATTACAGACAAAAGAAGCCACAATTCAGACTTCACTTTCAACATGTCCTGCGACAACAATGACCCGGCGTTCCATCGGGAGGTGAGGCGAACACTGTCAGACACCGGGAGCTGGCGTCATCTATGCAACATGCCGGGGCACGAGTGTGAAATTACCGTCTCCTGTGGGAACAACTCCGATCAAGGTAATTCATTTGATTTGATTTATTACTCGAAAGTTTATTGCAAATTCCCACCCATAGGCTAGTTGCAAGTAAATGTAACATAAAAACAAGAAGCCATAGGTGACAATTCTCCGTGAAGTATATATTGCGACAAAAAGAAGTAGCCATTGGCGACAATTCTCTGTGAAGTGTGATAAATCGAACAAAGAAAAATTGTTTAAACGCGCGTCGGCTCAGTCATCTTAAGACGCAACAACCAATCAGAGATGCGAAATGCCGACACGTGACGCGGGATTTGCATACAGTCTAAACAACGGGGAAGGGCGCGCGATGCCCGAAATATTTTTGCGTCAATATTCAGCGCCGTGTTTCAAGAGATTGATACCGGGAAACAATTTCTTTTCTTGTTTTGAACGCATAAACATGCATTTACGCTAATCTAGTATGATTCAGGGTTACTTTTTTTTTTACCTGCCATGGCCAGATTATCTAAAGATGTGTGTATTGTGTGTACAATCTACAGAAAGAGAAATGTACATCAGGTCCGATCATCCGATTTTCACGTTTCGGTTTTTTGGACTCGGTTCATGAACGTATTTTGGTTTGGCTCCTGGAATGACTCCCGGGACTGTCCACAGGGAACACTCGCACATTCGCGGTGTATCAGAACAGCGCGACTGGTCGGCATTAGCGCAGTCCCTGTAATTAGTAACAGTTGCACATCAATCCGGCCGAAAGCATGATTGTGTAACACAGGCTACTTCTTCATATACCGGCTCATACTACACGACGCCTTTACAACTAGCAAATCATAAAATTACCCGACCTACTAGTACTGTATGTGCGGTTTACCAGCCCCAGACCACATCCGACCACGAGGCAGAACACATTGATGGGTTGCTCAAAAATATTGTCCATGTTTACAAAGAGCTGCTCCACTAACACTATGGAGCGGCCCAACCCAAAAATATTGGCCATGTGTCGTTGCTAGGACGACCGGCCAGTTGCTACGTGACTAAATACACGCCGCCACTAGGTCGCCACACCCGACCAGTTTGAAATCGATAGGATTACGTCATCGGTATTAACATTAAATTTTTCCTAATGTTGACCTCTGACCACCCCACATATCCGTACCCATCAGCCCCGCCCCGACTTACTACCGGTGACATAAACGGACGACAACATTTCAACGGCATGGGGATGTTTCGAAAATAACCATTTACTCCAATATCAAAACAGCTACGGTAAAAATAAAAAGACGTGCATCATCCCGGACATAATGCAACACCACATGCGAAATTACACATAAATGCGACGTACGGAAGAATGCGTTTTGGCTGCGAACATCTTCCAAAAAACTTGGCATCTCTTAACCATGGGCAAAAACATCTGGAACCACTTATAAAAACCACACCGTATCTGCATGAACTTTTACCCCCCCCCCCACAGCTATTCCAAACAACGCGTTTTTCTGGACCATTCCAATTCGCCTCGTAATTGTAGGGGTGCGTCTGCGATATTACATTGACCGCGAAAGCAGCAACAGCAAAAATACACATTAGTGCATCAACACGGGCATGCCCGCAGACGGCGTATAAAATTGCGTGCCGATTACACAAAGAGAACCCAGTGTTTTGACTGCGAACATGAAAAATCAGCCGATCACAACACTCCGTCCGGAGGTCCTGACCTCCTTCACGGAGTAATAAAGGATGGACAACAGGATGGCTAATAATCACTGTTGTATGTGGCTACTCTATCTACTAAACACTGAATTCTAACTTACATATTGCAACAGTGCAATACACGTGGGACAAAGGCGGCTGTTGCTGGTGTTGTGTCCTACAAATTGAAACAAAAACAGGACAGACATACTCATTTTCACTTGAGTTAAGTGGGGAAAGTCGTGTAAAGTGCCTTTCCCATGGCAAGGGCACAAGATCGGTGGCATGTCAGGACTCGACCTTTTGGTTCCGAGTCGAGCACTATGCCGTTGCATGTGCCACCCTTCACTTCTCAAAGGCTGTTGCTTTCATGTTTTCATAGAAAGACTAACATTTTGTTCAGTCGCTGCTTAGAAATGTATATGAACAATATTGATATTATTAATTTTTTTGTCAACATAGTGACTAAGACTTCAGAGCTGGCAACAAATGCGGCCACACAGTCCGATCAGATCACCGGTACAACTAAGGAACCTACAGCCGCAAGCACCACTGCCACTACTCTGCCTCCAACCACTGTACCTGCTACTACGGTACCTCCAGCCGTCACTTCAGCCACAACCGCCGCTGCTACAGTTCCAACCACGTCTCTAGTTACCACCACGTCTACTTCCTCCACTCAGAACACGGTGGTTATTAGGAGTACACTACTCCTCAATACATCAACCACCAGCATGACTACCGTGGCTCAAGTTAACACTAAAACAAACGTTTCAGCCAGTATCCCCCAGTTTCCCACTACCTCACACACCCTAAACACCACCACCAGTACCCCAGCCACTACTCTAAGCACCGCAAAATTTAGTTCGACTCAAACCACTGGAGACCATGGTAGTGTTGTTTATTTCGAAAGCTCAAACACTCGTAAACCATTCACAGTCAACACCACGCCTAAACTGTCAACTATAGCTACAAATCCTGTAATTTTATCCACCTCTGTGTCACCGACCGCAACCCTACCTGTTACTTTAACTCCATCAACTGTTCCACCCTACAAGCCTTCCCCTAAAACCACTGCAAGTATAAAATCCTTACTTACTTCCACCTCGAGCGCCACTCCAATTGTAACTGATGAAGCCAGAGCTCCAACGTCTTCCCTTAAACCCGCTGCAAGCGTCTTACTTACTTCCACCTCGAACGTCAATCCAATTGTAACTGAAGCCACAGCTCCAACTACGAGTACAACACTTGCTTCTTTCTTTCACACCACCACAAATGCAGGCAGCATTCATGTAAATGCACCTACAACCAACTCACCAAAACCTTCAATCACTACAGCCAACGCCTCTGAGTCTCCAACAACATTCTCATCTCTGAACACCAGGCATACTTCACTCCCTCAAAAAAACCAAACTACTCCTCCGCTGCAGTATCTTCGCGGTATCGCCACTTCATCGTCCCCTAGCACAAGCAGCGGGTCCACAGGACATACTGAGGAGTCTCATGATCAGTTTTCTACGGTTCCTGTCACGGCAACTGGGACTGTACTGGCTGTTGTTGGTTTGGTCATTGCAAGTTTCGTCTGGTGAGTCTTGATCAATATGTTCAGTTCAGTTCATTGGGATGCCCTTTAGCCCGTAAAGGGGCTAATCTACCAGGGCTCCTACACCAAATATATACAGGTACAGAAAAAAAGCTATTTTATATCACATTTATCATACACTGATACAGTATCTAAAAAAAAGAGATTCGAGGAATTACACGTCGCATTCATAACAATCATGCAAAATATACAAATTATGCGTGGATTACTTTTACGAAATATACCACCCTGTTATATATAGTGAACTGTTTGATATGAGATGTAACTGCATTCTGATCATTTCATGTGGTTTACAGGTAATTAACTGTGAAAAAGTACTAAATGCTGTGTTTTCTTACAGTTTGAAAAAGACGCTAAGAGTTCCCATTGGCTCTGCGGATGGTTATGGTGTCCACGATACATCTCCATACAATAACGCGAAACCTGGGCCTTGAGGTTTTTCAAGTACTTAGGCCACACCGTCTTAATTTTATGGATGACATCCTCTGAAGATCCCCAAACTAGTGCGCCCGGGCAATGCTACTAAATCTACTAAAAATGCTACTAAACCACAGGAATACAAAGCTCATGTATTGTGAATTTGCACATACTGTGATACCTTGTCAAATGAATAATATGTAGTAAATGAAAGATATTGTTATGAAAGCAGACTTTGTTCATCTATTAAGATTGTCGTGTTGTTGATTTTATGTAGCCTGTGTTTACACTAGTAAGTCTGCAACTGTTTCCCTAAGGGGGCCGCAAACCTCTGGGCAGGTGGCCACCAGGAGCGCGATGTTTTAGTCAGGCTAGATTAATTGATTATACCAGGGATTTAGCCATTTTTACGACACGTTGTTACCAGGTGTTAAGTGATCACACACTGTTTACATACACTATAAGTAATACTATTACTTTTCTCAATCTGCAAAATATAAAACTTCACGGAGAATTGTCGCCTATGGACACTTTTTTTTGAGAACAGGCGAAAATCAATGCGCGCGCGGATGTCATCCTTACAATTAAGTCGGCTTACATAAAGCGAAGAAGATATTGATCACAAGTATGGACAAACGAGTGGTGAAGATCTGATCACGAGCCACGTTGGAATTCTGTATAGACAGTTTGTACAAATAGTGTGCAAGAAATTCGTAGTGTGTGTTAAGCGTACACTAAGTACTAGTATATCTGAAGTATTTAAAGTAGCTATCATATAGGGCGTACTCTGAAAAAAATGGCAAGATTCTCAGTAAGCAATGACGATTCAATTAAAATTTCCAATTGAAAACTACAGGACGGCCCGTCCAGTTTACTAAGTGACCCACTGTTGTTATTTTTTTTATTGAATGAATGATTGAATGATCGTTATGTGCACTTGCCTATCAATGTGGGCTAAATGCAGTAAAGGCAGTTTTCACATGGAACTTTGCGTAAAGAATTATATTACTAACTAGAGTTCCCCGATCTCATATCTTTGCCAAATGATGTTAATCTTTATGACTGACAATTTGTAGATTATGCAAATAGGATCCTCATTTTCATGAATTATATCAATTTATTATATTCTCAACCAATCTTGCCTGCTGGATTTGCCAAACGAACAATGCCATTCTAGCATTTCCTCATATTATTCAAATGAGGTCCTGATTTGAATACATTATGATTAATGATAATCACCTTCACTGAACTTTCAAATACCACAAGTATGAAATTCCACGCAGTTATCATTACAACTAACCTAAAATTCTGCTACGCTGTGTATCTATTGTTAACAAAGAATGGAACATACAAAGCTTCAGTAGCTGTTTACATCGTGTGTTTAGATTCAGGGCACCAACTAAAGAATTATGTATGTCCCTTTATAAATATATCGTACACTCTAATACAAAATTAATTTTTCTACAAGCGTACGGTTGGAGTTACAAAATGTACAAATTCTGGCGTTCCGAGGCCTACGGTTGTGTCTTCCTACTATTGAGAACAGGCAAAGGACAATGTGGCGCGTTACACTAAAGTTCAACTCAGGCCAACGATCCGCTGTCCGAAAAGTTGTTCCAGAACGTAAAAACTCCCGGTGTTCCAGACTAGCAACGGCGTTCGACAAAAACTGTTTACAGTTACCACTGGCTGTTCGAAGCGACGTCGACGGACGCACATTTTAGCTGCTCCTGTCCTTAGTACAGATTTGAGAGGATATGTCGAGACGACGTGGCCGGCGAAGGCACCGGCGGTCCCGGGCGCGGTCCCGGGCGGTAACCTTCCCGTACTGCCCTCTCTCAGACACCCATGCTGACCAGAAGGGTACCGGTGGACGTCTGCGGTTCTTGAAAGCCGCCGCGATCACCGTGTTGATACTCGTTGCATGCTGTGACTTCGGTAAGTTTTCTACCAAAACAATTATGATTTCGGTCATAAAAGTTCATCTGTGTGTAGTTACATGTTTAAATTTAAAACTTATCTTTGTTCCAACACAAGAAATAGTTCTCTCCTAGAGCTTTCAAACAGTCACTCTGGTCGTCTTCTTTCAAGGATTTAGATGTTCAAAAACTCGTTTTTCTCTAGTTAGAAGTACTGTAGAGTTGAACTCGCTGCCACTCAAGTAGAGTAGGGGCAGCATCACTAGACAGGCTTTTAAGCTTAGGTCACAATTCAAGAAAGGGGCCCGCTCGGCGCGAGTTCGGTCTGTTTTCTGGCACTACCGAACGGGACCTGGACGGAGACCGGCGGGTTTCCCGACGGCTGCCGGCCTATTTTTGGCCCCGGGCGGTCGCCGAATCGAGTTTAACTCAAACTTAAAACAAGAGTTCCGAGATCTCATACCTCCATGAAATAAGGGCTTGACATGTAAATTCATTCTTTAATTATGCAAATGACCTCTACATAAACATAATAAATGCATCGTGTTGTTAACTTTTTATTAACTCACACATGTTGCAAGTATGAAATTCCCACCACTAAGGAGTCATAGAATTTTGAGATAAATTATGCAAATTAGTTCCGTACTTGCATAATTGGTATCTGGTGATATTCCTCCTTCCATATATTATAAAAACTACATGTATCAAAGACCCCTGATGTAAAACACTGGAATTACACAATTTCCTCATTAATTATGCAAATGAAGTCATAATTTGCATCCAATAATGTAGATCTCTGCCTAAGCTACCCACATACCAAAAATCAAGAAAATACATTGTTCCTTTGTGAATTTATCTGCTCTGAAAGGTCGCCAGAAACACCCCCTGCAGTTCCAGAACAAGCTGCTAGGGGGACCAAACCCACACCACTTATTACTGGCAGGAAAAGCTATCCACCACTCAAAAATCAAGACCATAGCATGTCCAGGACAAAAGATACAAAAACCGGAAGTTCTGCTGCAGTACCAAGGTCATCCACCAGGAGGCCCATATTTGACCTTGACCTTTGTCTTCCTAAGACTTACCAACATACCAAATATCATCATAATCCATAAAGGCGTTATAAAGTTATGCTGACTACAAATGTGCGGAAACACAGACACACACACACACAGACACACAGACAGACACGCCAAAAACAATACCTCCATTTTTCATGGAGGTAATTATTATATAGCCTGGATGCAAGACTGATGATAGCAATTAATTGCATAGCATACAATTGCCATTTACCATAATTACAATTCGTCCTCTTCCAACGTTTTGAACGAACTCGGCCCCTGTAGTTAAAAAAAGCTGCCCAAAACTACATAACTTCCCTTCAATAACTGTCTACCATCCAACTGTCTACCATGAGCCTTGCATGTCCAGATCACGAGATATCTAAACTGACATTTCTGCTACAGTGCAAGAAAAGCCGTCAGGGAGTCAAAAGTTCTTCCTTAGGCCAATATCTAAATACGTGCCAAAGTTTATGACGACATCCTTCCAATATAGCTTATTTAGTTATGCTGTTAAACCACACAGAGACGTACTAATAACCTTCTATAAGCGAAGGTGATAAAACACCACATACAAATACACTGTAACAATGGTAAATTTCACCAGGGCACATAGTTCAACGACACTGGAAGCTAGTTGACGAAATTAGTCTGAACATCAGGAAACTTTGCTCTTTGAACTCTACCACAATAACAACTCCTAATACGTCAATCGCGAAATACTTAAACGTACACCCGGGGAGATCATTAGTCTGGCAAATGCGGTGTACGTACAGACACCGCCACAGTTGCAGGTGCGAAGCTTGCTTGGTCCCGAAAACGTTAACTACCCTTGGCGGAGGAAAGACGTGCTCGGCTGTCCGATAGCTTGTGCCTGATGCTTACATGTCTGCCAATGAAGTACACACACTGCAAGTAAGTAAGAAGTAGTTTTTGATGAAAGGTGTAGAGACGGGTACGTAGAAGGAATGTATGTAAGAGGCGGTGCAAAGGAAAGGGCAGCCATGTTGTTCTTGCTTCTCTTGGCAGCTTCTTGTGCTGCCTCAGGTGGCCGACGTTTTCCTCCGTGTAAGACAGCTGGGTGGCTAGAGTGTGTGCCTCACTTAACAGAGAAACCGGCAACTTTTCTGATCTTCAAAGGTTCATGTGTCCTGTGCGAGGGCCTGGGTGGGGACGTTGCCTCTGTAAGTCCTTTCCCTTTCCTTGCTACAGTCCATGCAGTGGCAATAAGAGGATATCCCTTCCATGTCCTGTCGGCCAGGAAACTGGCACCGCTCGAGCATTCGAAGGTCGACGCTTTGGCTCTGATAGACGCAAACATCACTGATGTGGAGAATAACACTTTCGCTGGGTTTTCCAGTCTGGAGAAACTGTCCTTAGATTCTAACAGGTTGGAAAGTGTTAATCAGACCTGGTTTACTGGCTTGGAGAATCTGTTGGTGCTGATTTTGTCCAACAACAGCATCAGGAGGATAGAGCCTGGTATCTTCGTGAACCTACCTCGCCTACATGTCTTGGATCTGGAGAACAACTTGTTACAGGCTATAGACCCTTCCTTGCTCTTTGGACCTAATTACAAAGTTGGACTAATCCTGATTCTGAGCTCGAATGCAATCAGTAGCGTTTCCCGGGGGTCATTCCATTGCATAAGCCTGGCCTGGTTAGACCTGAGGGATAATGACCTGTCATGTTTGGATGAAGATGTGTTCCGGGGACAGTCTTCACTATTACGGCTCCATGTCAGCAGTGGTATGCTGGCATCTGTCCACAATGCAATGCCACATAAAATGGCGTGGAGCCTACATCGGCTAGTCAGTCTCACCAGAGGGTCAGTTACAGTGGTTGTGCAGGTACCCAAATTCCTCTTCTGTGCCTGGCACCATGCTTATGGACTGTCGTTTGGGTGGGTGTTTGATTCTTCGGACAAAGTGGCTGGTAAAACCGGAGCGGTCAGCCCTGGCAAATGCAGTGGTAATTTGGATACTTCTATGAGCACGATCTCCCTCCAGCCTCCTGTGGTTGTCCTGGCTACCGATGGCTCTCTGAGTACCGACAAACCGGACACCAACACGCCTGAGCAGTGCAGGCAGGTTTGGGAATACGGCGGGGGCATCGCAGTGCCCCTGGTGGGAAACTCAATCTTCCGACTGGTTTCCATGGCCACCGGGAACACAACCTCTGAAGGTGTTGGCATGGCATTTGTCAAGAAACAACACACGGACGCACTCACCACCACTGAGTCTAGCACGCACAACACCCACACAAACACAAGGAACATCACCTGCATTCTTCTCACCAGAGGTGAGCACACAATGTTCTTCACCGTTCCCGACCCGGTCCATGGCCACCATGGCCAGTGCCAGACCTACACAACAGAAACCTCTTACACAGCCGGTACTATTAAGCACTCCAGTAGCCCGACACACTACACTGACATTACTGAGACAGAGAACACATCTTCAGAATCGGGGCACTACGACTCCACACTTCATGTGATGAGTAATACCACACTTGGACCAGATCTAGAGGTGGTTCAGGCACCATGTCATATTGTCATCCCAGTTGTTGTCTCGGCAGTGGCCGTTCTGGCCATGTCGTTCCTTGCAGTGTTGCTGTGGAAGGTGCGTGCAGCAAGGTTGAACACTGAGGATGACATGGCCAGTGACGATGCACACGTTTGGACAATCGATATCCCCCTTGACGTTACCTTCCCCAGCTTGCTGAGGTCCGCTTCCCTCCCTACTGCACGTTCAGGAAAGACGGCGTCGGACGACGCAGCCTCTTGTAAGTCATTGCCCGCCGTCCTGCATTCCATCGAACCTACTTACAGCGAGATCCCAGATGACGTAGCTTGCGCTCACAGACCTCTGCCTGGTCTCCCACACGTGTACTCGGATGACGCCGGTGTGGTCCGGTCAGCTTCCCTCCCTGCGTGCAGTCGCGGGGCCACCCCAGACGATGCAGCGTCCTGTAGGTCATTGCCGGCTGTTCTACAGTTCATCGAACCCACCTACAGCCAGATCCCAGATCACATCGCCGCTGCCCAGCGTCCTCTGCCTGCTCCCCCGCGCGCATGCTGGGAAAGACCAGATCACGACACTGCTGCACAGCGTCCCCTGCCTGTCACACACCATACCTACAGTGAGATCCCGGATGGTGAGAGCGGACCTATGCCTTTCTATGCTGATGCAGAGCTTTTGCTTCGTGTCATCACAAACAGGCAACTGAATCGACCGGCCTTCCGGACCCATGGCACTCACAGCAGTAGTCGGTCTCCACAATCCATGGCCACGTATGGATCGAGTGGACAGACCAAAGGCCAGCGTAATCCCTTCTACAGAAGCGCCTCCGATGTCAAAGGTATAAGGGCCCGCAGACAGCTAAGGACAGCTTTGGTATCCCGGCCTGCTGACCAAGGTGTAAGTCACTACGCCGACGCCACAGACGCAATCCTGTCCAGAGGTCATGACGTCACTTTTGCTCACATCGCGCTACTCACACTACCTAACACCTACTGGCCATGGGAGATCCCAGGGGAGGGAACCCGTAATACACCACGGCGTGCGTCCCTCCCCACCGTCACACTACTTAACACCTACTGGCCATGGGAGATCCCAGGGGAGGGGGCACGTAACACACCACGGGAAACAACACTTCACCCACAGCCTATCACTTGATGAGATCTAACCCTCTATTTCACCATTTCAGGGTGCAGGAATAACAGTTTCAAAGCGGATATGACCAGAAAGGCAAAACGTATTCTCACAATTTTTGGTATGTAGGTAGCGTTGGCAAAGCTGTACACAATTGAATACACAATTGAATGGCTTAATTATGATGGCTTAATTTGCATAATCAGAGGAAAATGCTGTACTTCCAGTGTTTCATGATCACATATTAGGACATTAGGGCACAAACTGGACTTCAGTAAAAAAAAAATCCATAGAAAAATAAATTGGATTCGCGTGACGAGAACGACCCGGGGTTATCATTTGCCAAAAAGGTCCAAATTTCGGTATTTCTGATGTCTACCTACCTGCACCTAACCTGCACTGGTCCAGGTGCTGGATTTATACATGTGTATATGTTGGGGTATGTGGATTTACTTTTACCGTATCTAAAGTATAATATATAGATAATGGCAATTGTTTCTGAACAGTATTTAGTATGATCCATACTTCCAAAAGTCTGAGTGATGCAGATAAATGTGTCTGGTGCAGGTAATTTTCAGTTTTGAAAATGCAGAAAAAGGTATTTTGAGTCTTGCACAGGCCTAACTTAACCCCTGAGGGCTGGGCCGGGAGCGACATTCAAGAAAAATTCCAGAAAACTTTGAGGAACCTCTTTTATTTATCTTTAAGCAAAATCATGAACTGGATATAAAAAATGGTTTTGTTTTCAAGCGATGCGTCACAAGCTTGGTGGTACTGGTGTAGCGTTTTTAATACGGCTACAACCTGTAGCAAATTAAATTCCATTGTTCGTAGCAAGGCGTCAGCAGATATACATTTATAGAACCTATATGCCGTGAATTAGGTGTTTTAAAACTGGTCAAGTCTAACTACCACTGGTTTCCCCACAAAAGATGCGAAGTAACAGAGAGGGTAACAAGATCAAAAGAAAAGCAACTTCGACACAAAAAAAGCACATTTCAGCACGTGCAAAGCTTTATACCAACAGTTCACTGCCATGCATAGTGAACTCTTAGAACAATGTATAAATGTAAAGATTGGTTTATTGTATTTATGGCTTCACCACAACACGAAGTTGTTATTTCGTTAATTTTGAAATTGGTGATTGCGAACACGTGATTTTTTGTGTGTGGAACTGGAAGTATTTTAAATGGACCTTAACATAATGGGGGGTCGCAAGAAGAATTCATTCGTAAAGAGGGGAGGCATGTGTTTTTTTTTAATTAGATATTGGACAGGGCTGTGTGTACCGGTCCATTTTTGGTGCGGGGGATGTGGTGAAGCCATTTGCTGCATTTGCTCCCAAGCAAATGCCTGCCTTTCTAGTTTACTATGTATTGCTATTGATTGAGGATATGTTAAATGTCGTATTTTACCATTTATGTAGAGGATAACATTGATTTTACCATGTACAGGCCTAGTTGTGTAAGTTCTGATTGGGGGCATGGACTGGCTGCTAAAAGGTTTCAACCAATAAACCAGTCATATATAGGCACGTGGGCCAGTCTAGTTGGGAAGGGGGGGGGGCGATCAGCTAAAGTGATGTCAGAACCATGGTGACTTTTATGAGGAAAGGGTTCGCAAAGTCTACACACTCTTCTAACAGTTAACCAATGAGCTGTGACTTTCAGGTTTCAAAATATATTGTAGGAAAGAATTTGAAATCAGTTGAGAGAAAAACGTGAATGCAGTGGTGACGTCAAATGTTCAACTCAGCCACCGGTGCACCCTGAAACCCGGCCAGACTTAGCGTCGTTACCGAATAATTCATCGAGATTTACCACATTTCTGGAAGGAATTGACATAACAGATGACTGTCACCTGGTCAAAGATGTCAAACCTGAGACCAGACCGTAAGGTTTCAACCACTCACACCGCGAAAGGACACCTGCTCTTTTCGATAACTGTGGTGGGGTCTTTTAACGTGTTCAATGCGTCGCTCTCCTATCCAACAGGACGTGCCAAACCTAAGCTCATCAAAGTACTCATCATCATTTTACACCTGATGAGTCAAGAGAGGAAGTAGGTGTGAAGTGTATTTCCCTGGGACACAACAAAGGGGCTTGACAGGGATTCGAACTCAGAACCTTCGGAATCTGAGTCAACCACAAGACCACCTTGCCACCTTACAACTCACTGGTCCGTTCAACACTCGAGGATGTCAAACAGTGCAAATGTCTTCATTATTCAACACGCTAACATCGCGTCGCCAGTTGAACTTATCTCATATGGCTCCTTCGTCGAACCGTGCACAGATGTTGTTCATATTTATACGTACCGGCGATCACGGAGTAAAATCTCACAGGAGACGTCCGAGGAAACGGCAACAGGACAACGCGAACGTTCATCCACCATACCGGCTGCTTGCTTTAGTGTACAATTTGGCAAAAATATTCATACTTGTTATACCGAGTCTCGGATATGTCACAGCTCATGGTCGTATCCCAATATTTTTTTCTTTCTGTTTCCTAATCTATTGTTCACCTTAGAGGCTTCAAGCTTTTCAAGAATATATATATATATAACAAATATAATAATCCAGTGTGTGTAACTACATCAATGATGTTTGTAGGGAAATTTACAGCGAGTAGGGTGTATAATAACATCAACCATACTTCTACCGAAAAACACCGATGTAAATGATCTATGTTCAACGCATAAATGTAAGTAATGCGTTCGTAGGCATGTAATTTGGTGCTGCCACGTGTGCCAACGTCTGAACCTAAGTTATGAATAATTGTGTAAATAGTGGAAACCACCAACACGAAGCTTATCGCTGATAGCTTCACAGCTCACCATATAAAGACGTTCCAAATGTAAAGCCAATTCACTGGTCACCTCTACTGTGTATTATTATATATTAGCAAACTTTGTATTACATATTAGGAAATAAATTGATCAGTGTTATTAAAGAACACATGTCGGGGAGCTGAATTTGTGGTCTTCTAAACTTATGTAGTCAGAACAGCAGTCATGTAGGACTCCCCCCCCCATGAGGCCCATTTTTGAACCTGACCCTTGTCACCCCAACAGTAACTTGCCTACACAAATCTTGAACACACATCCGGCTACATGAGTTATGTGCCACCTACATCCACACTCCACCATACTAAGCCAAACCGAAAACATAACCTTCTTGCTGTCTATATGCAGGTAATATATAGTCTGCTCTTGTTAAACAAGTAGTGATGAATAAACGACTTAATTGCTACTCAAGTTACACATAGTGTGAATATCACAGTAAAGGACACTGATTATGTTAGACATCCAGCTACTAAACAATATTCAAAGATAATTCAAACTCTACTACTGAATAAATTACGGTGATTACTTTAGGACGTTTCAAGTGGCACCTGTTACTAAAAATTAAACAGTAAAGGACAAACGTACACACAACACACACGAAACTTGAGGAATAAAAACATGTTCATCACCTGTCCATTGTGGGTGAACTCGTAGCCCTCGTACTTGCACTCGTGCGACCTGATGATGAGCTGCATGCCGTTCTCCTTGAGGAACTTCCCGGTGACGTCAGGACCGAAGTAGCAGCCCCCCCCCCCGGAACGTGTTGGGACCACAGCCCAGCTTCCCGCGGGGGTCACTCCACAGGAGGTCAAGGATCTACAGAGCACAGGTACGTTACACATATATAAGGTAAAAAAAGTAAAGGTAGTACCGTAGCCTTTTTTGAGGCCGTAGGGACAGTGTACGGCGAGCTTTGCCAGGGTAAAAGAAAGAGGGGTAGGCCTCAGAAACGTTTTAAAGACAGTATCAAGGAGAACATCAAGTATGCTGACATACCCCCTAAACAACTCGAGAAGCAAGCACAGGACCGCTGTGGCTGGCGCTCGCTGACCAAGCTTGCGCAGGAGAACTTTGAAAGGACACGTCGTAAAAATATTGTTGAGGCTAGACAGAGACTCAAAGCAGCGGCAGCAGCAGCAGTGACCAGGGAGCAGAGTCCGTTCCAGTTCACCTGCGAGCAGTGCGGACGACCCTGCAGATCCAGAATTGGACTCCTGAGCCACTTGCGGGTGCACAAAAGATGAGAAGAGGACGCAACGTAGAAGTCATCATCGGCAACGATGGACAACCACGAGGGACAGTGGGTTGTTGACCTAATGTGTCTAGAGCATTGTATTGGAAGGCATAGCCCCTCCCCCCCTTCAACCTCCCTTTACCTCCCCAACACAATACAGGCACCCAATTCGCACCTGAGTGGAGAAGTGCCTTTAGCAATGAGTCACTTGGTCAGTCTACTGATGAAGATCAGAGTGACTGGTCGAAAGCTCTAGGTGAGAGAACTTCCTGTGTTGGATCTAAAGTTTTAACTCTAAACATGTAACTACCAATACAGATGAACTTTCATGATTGTAACCATGAAGGTAAGTTGTTTTGATTCAAACCCGTAAAGTCTTGATCTCGTGCCGGCTTACCTGTCTCCATTCCCGGTCTAGTCTCTCCCTGCCGGTCAGGATGCCTACTATATAGCGGTCCTCGTCAGCAGAACTTGGAGGCATTAAGGCTGTTATGAACTGAAAACAAACAAAGCCGGAAAATAGCAGCAATTTTGCGTTGCGAATTTCACATCGTTGTAGGGGGTTTGAAATTTGTCATAAAATCTCATTTAACATGTTTCTACAAGATTGACGTCGAACACCGCGCATCAGTTTCGTTTCAGACCAAAGCGAAGGCTATCTGAACCCCTTGGAAGAGAAACTATGTCATTAAAAAATTATGTCGAAGTTGATACCAAAGACTTTAAAAATGGTACATCCTTCTTTCTATGCTTAGCACTCGGCACATATGAGACAAGAGTTCTGAGATCTCATACCTCCATGAAATATGGGCTTGCTTTGTCATGCTTCATTTCAACATATCCTCATTAATTATGCAAATAACCTCTACATTAACATAATATATGCATAGTGGTGCTAACCTTTAAGTAACTTATACATGTCACGAGGTATAAAATTCCCATCATTCACCAATAAGGAGTCACAAAATGTTCACATTAATCATGCAAATTAGGTCTCCATTTGCATAATTGTTATCAGTTGATGTTCCACCTGCCACAGATTAAATAGATTACATGTATAGCAGTACCATTATATGAAACACTGTAATTATAGAATTTCCTCATGAATTATGCAAATTAAGTCCTCATTTGCATAATTTGCATTTAATCATGTACAACTGTCTATCAGGTACCTACACACCAAAAATGATGAAAAGACGTTGTTCCAATCTGGACTTATTGGCTTTGAAAGTTTTTACCAGAAACTAACCTGCAGTTCCAGAACAAGCTGCTAGGGGGACCAAACTTACGCCACTTTTTCCTGACAGGATAAGCTATCTGTCACAAAAAAGTCAAGACCATAGCTTGTTCAGGACAAAAGATACAAAAACAAGATACAAAAAAGTTCTGCTGCAGTACTAAGGTCATCCACCAGGAGGCCCATTCTTGACCTTGACCTTGACCTTTGTCTTTCCAAGACTTACCAACATACCAAATATCATCACAATCCATAAAGGCGTTATGAAGTTATGCTGAGTACAAAGTTGCGGAAACACAGACAGACAGACAGACAGACACACACACACACACACACACACACACACACACACACACAGACATACAGACAGTCACGCCAAAAACAATACCTCCATTTTTCATGGAGATAATCACTTCGGGCCCCGTTCGGCAAGGTACACCGAAGCGACGCCGTAACCTCACTGCCCGGGACCCGTCTGGCGGCTGAACAGGCACCTGCCTAAGATTATGACGTCACATGTGCTGATCAGTGAATCAGGAAAAGGGGGTTATAGAGGGCATATATAAACTCTTTCTTCAGACTACGTCGCATAGTTCACCACGTGTGTGTTACACCGTGTACTTGTGTGTCAGAATGCCGAAGGGCAAGGGAAAACAGCCGAGACGATAGCCCGGCATACATGTACTTCAGAACAGTGATATTGTGTTGCATGTGGGCTACCCTGAAGGCAACCTCCAAGGATTGGTAGCTGTTAATTCACTGTGTTACCAGGAAGCATAGGGTAATGGTGAGTTTTAGGCCTGTTGGCAAGGGCTGTCTGGCACTGCATAGAAGTAAACAGAAGTGTTACAAACAGACTGGACTGTAATATCTAAATTTGCTGTTATTATAAATCATTATGGATGCATTGAAATGTGTCAAGAAGTAGAGGGCATTCACAAAAAAGCGCTTGCTCTGGACTTTTCTCGATGGATGGGCCTACACGTTGTAGGAGGTCGTGAAACACCTGTGGTTCAATTCGCAGGAAGGACAGGAAGTCGCGCGCAATGATGTTCGCGACAAAGTTCTGTTATCAGTGTCCGTACACGACAGGAGCCCGTCCGGATCCCGCCAGGGACGTGCCAGGATCCCCCCTGGACCCCGCCAGGAACCTGACAGCTGCCCGGCCGAACTGTAAGAGCCGGTCGGCACCCTACCGCAAGCCGCACAGGTCAAGACGGGAGACTGACCGGGCACCGGACGGGTCCCTGACAGAAACCGCCCGCCAAGGGTACCAAATGTTTATGAATATTAATAAGAAGCCGCCTCAACACCGACCGGGGCACTACTAGGCTCCGACAGGGAGCCGTAAAGGATCATTTAATTGTGACCCTGACAGTCGGCGCACGTTCGGCGTCATGACACCGGCCGGCGTCTACACCGAGGACATGCCGAATGGGCGCCGTTTCAAATGTGACCTAAGCTTAAACAACGTTTACCATGAGTAAGATGTGTAAACAATATAATGACGAACATGATACAGCTAGTCTTTTGTTGTATTTCTTATACTAAATATAATCTGCCTTATTCTTTTTGACATCTCAAAAGAAGTTTACAAGTGATTCAGAGTTATTTCCTAGTCAAAAGCTTCAAAGCCACACAGGCCTAGGTCTTTATATTCTGACCATGAATCTTTTTTCCCTTAGATTGCTGGTGTGGTTATGACCACACAGTCCTTCTCCAATACTGGTGAGGATAAGCCTACCATCAACCTTCCCCCGTACGGGAGCAAGGGAGACGACCAAGCAGGAAGCGGAGATTCAGAAGTTCTCTCCCCGCACAGCGGATGGAAAGGAGTCCAGGTGAAGCCGCATGACTTGGTTGAAAACGACGCTGAAATTCACAACCGTCCGGACGGCATGATCTTGGTGATTACGGGAGGGCCGTCCGCTATCATGAACAGGCACTACAGATGATGCAGGGTATCCATGGTATTAAGGACATCGCACATCCTGACATCGACTCGTCACTTAACAACTTGGGGGATATCTGGGGTGACCTTGGTGATCACAGAAAGGCCGTCAGCTATCATGAACAAGCACTACAGATGAGGCGGATTATCTATGGTGAGAGCATCGCACATCCTGACATCGCCAAGTCACTTAACAACTTGGGTAACGCCTGGGGTAGCCTTGGTGATTACAGAAAGGCAGTGAGCTATAATTATGTACAGGCACTGCAAATGAAGCGGGTTATCTATGGTGAGGACATCGCACATCCTGACATCGCCAAGTCACTTAACAACTTGGGTAACGCCTGGGGTAGCCTTGGTGATTACAGAAAGGCAGTGAGCTATAATTATGAACAGGCACTGCAAATGAAGCGGGTTATCTATGGTGAGGACATCGCACATCCTAATATCGCCAAGTCACTTAACAACTTGGGTATTGTCTGGCGTAATCTTGGTGATACAGGAGGGCCGTCCGCTATTATGAACAGGCACTGCAGATGATGCAGGGTATCTATGGTGAGGGCATCGCTCATCCTGACATCGCCTCGTCACTTAGCAACTTGGGCAACGCCTGGAGTAACCTTGGTGATTACAGAAAGGCCGTCATCTATCATGAACAGGCACTGCAGATGATGCGGGTTATCTATGGTGAGGGCATCGCACATTCTGACATCGCCAAGTCACTTAACTTGGGTAAGGCCTAGGGTAACCTTTGTGATTACAGAAAGGCCGTCATCTATCATGAACAGGCACTGCGGATGAGGCAGAGTATCTATGGTGAGGGGATTACACATCCTGACATCGCCACGTCACTTAACAACTTCGGTAACGCCTGGTATAACCTTGGTGATTACAGAAAGGCCGTCGGCTATCATGAACAGGCACTGCAGATGAGGCAGAGTATCTATGGTAAGGGCATCGCACACCCTGACATCGCCAAGTCACTTAACAACTTGTGCATTGCCTGCAGTTTGCTCGGTGATCACAGAAAGGCCGCCTACTGCTATGATCATCTGACAAGGATGAAGCAGATGATTGAAGACACGTATAAACCCTGATGTGCTTCTTTTCTAGATAACTTATATCTTCAAAATTACCCAAAAGTTATCGAAAAAGCAGCTAAATGAAGCATTCTTATCGAAAAATGATTGTGTTTTTTAAATTGTCATTTCAATGAGACAACTGATTTTTTCTTTCACAAACAGCTAATCTGGTATAGGTTATGATAAAGACTGCTCAGAACTGTATTAGTCATTAGAAAACAAAGAATACAGCGCAGCGTTGTATACACTTCAGAAGACATGTATTGGTCCTCCTTCATAATGTCATTGCTTGTGACATCCATGTGCCTTGGGAATTACTTTACATGGAATAAAGTACCTCTCATTTGAAAATGTCTGATAAAATCGTTCATACAAATATATAAAAATTATATATATTTGCATCTTTTCATAAAATCCATCTGAAGTCAATGTCAGATTTCTACTTGTTTACAAATAGGACAGACACATTTATACATACATGTACATAAATATACAATTTGCTGTATTTTTCCTCCATTATGACACGAGAAAAATGCGTGTTCTCTTCATTACTGTAAATGTATGTACATGTAGTTGCGGTTGACCATCCTTTGACTACGATGCAGAATTGCTTTATGAAATAACGTATCACTTCATACATTCCCTCTTGCAAAAACATTTAGAATCATTTCACAGCTTATATGTCTTCACTTTCAATGGACACGTCATCACATAGAAGTGGAAGGATAAGAACAGTTCACAGCTGCTGGTAGACTGTTATGTCCTTGTTACTGCTGATGTACGTGGTGGTGTAACAACAGGAACCCTGGAGAGACTCCACGGTTGTCCAGTAGGTCTGCCCTGTGGGAAGCGGAGTCTTCACAACCTGACCACTGTGAACCTTGATGGGCTCTGTCTTGTCATGGTAAGGTGCAGCCACGGATGATGCACTCAGGGATAAGATATGTTTTGCCTCTTTAAGTATGGACTGACGGAGTCCACCACACTTCACCCCATATGGTGCCTGGGTCTTCTCCTTCACAGATGCTCGTGGATTTGCCATCTTTGGGTCAGGAAACTCTAAGTCTAGCTGGCTTCCATCACATGAGGATTCCAGGCTGGCAGCAGAACTCAGCAGCTCTGATAGACGCAAGATGTCCTGAGACTCCTGGTCTAGCGCAGACACTGAATCTGCCTGCAGGGGGGAGCGGGAGTTGATGAGCAACTCTTCCAAGAAGGGAGCAATGTCTGATTGGTCTTCAAGCCAGTCTTCCTGCAGAGAAATACCCTGCTGTTCAATATCAGCTGTTTCCTCCTCTTTTCTTGAAGATGAACAGCTGGCCAGGAGGCATTCTGGCAGGAATGAGTCACTCTCCAGTTCAATCTCAGCTGTTTCCTCCTCTAGGTTTGGAGATGGACAGCTGGCCAGGAGACATTCTGGCAGAGATGAGTCACTCTTCTGTTCAGTATCAGCTGTTTTCTCCTCTTTGCTTGGAGATGGGCAGCTGGCCAGGAGGTATTCTGGCAGAGATGAGTCACTCTGCTGTTCAACATCAGCTGTTTCCTTCACTTTGCTTGGAGATGGACAGCACGCCAGGAGGTATTCTGGCAGGAGAGGGTTACTGTGCTGTTCAATATCAGCAGCTGCTGCTTCCTCCTCTTTGCTTGGAGATGGGCAGCTGTCCAGAAGGTATTCTGGCAGAGATGAGTCACTCTCCTGTTCAACATCAGCTGTTTCCTTCACTTTGCTTGGAGATGGACAGCTGGACAGGAGGTATTCTGGCAGAGATGAGTCACTCTGCTGTTCAACATCAGCTGTTTCCTTCACTTTGCTTGGAGATGGACAGCACGCCAGGAGGTATTCTGGCAGGAGAAAGTTATTGTGCTGTTCAATATCAGCAGCAGCTGCTGCTTCCTCCTCTTTGCTTGGAGATGGACAGCTGGCCAGGAGGTATTCTGGCAGAGATGAGTCACTCTTCTGTTCAATATCAGCTGTTTCCTCCTCTTTGTTTGGAGATGGACAGCTGGCCAGGAGACATTCTGGCAGAGATGAGTCACTCTGCTGTTCAACATCAGCTGTTTCCTTCACTTTGTTTGGAGATGGACAGCACGCTAGGAGGTATTCTGGCAGGAGAGAGTCATTGTTCTGTTCAATATCAGCAGCTGCTGATTCCTCCTCTTTGCTTGGAGATGGAAAGCTGGTCAGGAGGTATTCTGGCAGAGATGAGTCACTCTGCTGTTCAACATCAGCTTTTTCCTTCTCTCTGGTTACAGAGGGACAGCTGGCCAGGAGGTATTCTGGCAGCAAAGATTCTTTCTGCTTTTCAATATCAACTGTTTCCTCCTCTTTGCTTGGAGATGGACAGCTGGTCAGGAGGTATTCTGGCAGGAAGTTGCCCTGCTGTTCATATTCCTCCTCTGACACTTGTGTCTGTTGTACCGTTTGTAGCTGGGCTCTCAGCAGGTTAGCTTCACTGTTGGGGAAAGAAAATGAAATGAAATTCGTAAGTATTCTTATTATGAAATATTCTTGATCAGTTCATAAAAAAAAGTATGAGAACTGCAATGAAATTATACTTTTTGGAATGGGAGGTGATCTCAAGAAAATGAGGGAAGCGAGGTATTGTGCCCCAAAATAGGTACGTTGGATCTTGTTTTCGACCGTGAAAACCAATGAAACCAATTACTCTGCATGTATACTTTACTTTGTGGCATCGACCTATCGGATGATAGTGACGTTATTCGTATACAACGAAGTTGCTAAAAAAGAGGAAATGCTGTTTACCACAAAATCATTGTTTTCTATCATAGTATGTATTTAATGTTCTAGAATTTTGCTAATAGCTGCTGTAATTGGACCAATAAATCAATGACATAAATTATGTTCATTAGCTGGCATATTTGCCTAAGTCGCAAGATGTCGCTTTTGATTGGTGAATAACGCATGAGGCTCGGATGTAATGCATGAGGCTGGTAAGGGCATAATTAGCAAAAATAGCAAAATATCAGGAATTATAAGGGTATTAGGCATAGAGCCATAGGATAAAAATAGAGCTAAAGATACTACGGGCAAGGGCAATCAATTACATTGTGTTTTATTCGTGCTGTTGAACAGATTTAAACAGAGTTACGTTATCGCCCCCCTCCCCCCATTGAACGTGAAAATTTATGAATTCGTGCGACCTAACATTGTTTGTTTGTTTATTGGTTCGCATACATATAAAAAAAAACAATAAAATGAACATATTACTGACAATAAAATAAAATGCTGGGGAAAGATATGAAGCCATAGTGGCTTGTCTGGGATCTTCCCCGACAAAATTAATTAACAACTGAAATAATACTGACAAATCAAATGGTAACAATAAATAACAATAAGTAGTTAGTAAATTTGATCAATATGATCAATATGATAATGGTAACAAAACAAATAGTAACAATGAGTAACAAAAGTGATTGATAAATAACGCTAATTACAAATAATATGTTAAAACATAGGTTAACAGCAATAACTCAAGAAAAAATAAATGAATTTTAAAAAGAAACGGAAATGCAAACTTATACAGATGAAATCACAGTAATAAGACATCAAATGTCGGTGGGAAATAAAAGTATGTGATTTTTAAGATTTCGTTTAAAGCTTAGTAAATCATTGATGTTAAACATTTTAGGTGGAGCGGGAGATTATTCCAAGTAGTTGTACATTTATATTTTACACTCATTTGGGCTACGGACGTTCTAACTAGGGGGATATGGAAATGGGCACTTTGTCGAGTTTGGTAAGTATGAAAATGGGAATTAAGATTTAGAAGACCATTAAATGTGTCTGGAAGAGAACAAGTAAGGAATTTAAACGTAAATAGCATCAGATGAAGTCTGTTTATATCAAAAATATTCAAAATCTTAAGTTTTGTAAACAAAGGTGCAGAATGTGCGCGGAAAC